TTCATAACTTACACGGAACTGCTCATCTAAATAGGCTTTACTATGGAGTGCATTTTTTTTTAAATAAAAAAACGTGTTATTTTTAATAATACCATTAATGAAAATATTTAAATAATTTTTTTATATAAAAAATGCAAATTAAATAAATAGAAATAATAGAAAAAAAATCAAGGTTAAAAAATATATCTTTCATGGGAAGAATGAGCCTGATTCTTTGATAGTAAATTTTCAATATTTGTCTTAAAATTAGTCAGGTTTAACCTCATATTTCCTCTATCAGTGATTTCTAATCTATTACTATTTTTGTAAGAAGATTGACAACTGTAATAAAACCCCTTTTCACGCAGTATGATGACGGAAAATCAATCAAAAACTTTCTTGCGATCATTTACGTAAATAGGGGGGGGGGGGACTTGGGTGGGCCTAGCCCACTCTTCAGCCTCTCGAACCCATCTAAATGAAATATGAATGTGTTAAATAAGAAAACAATAAATTGTCAATTCCTATTAGTTCTGCTTTGTGTGAACGATCGTTTTCCTCAATGAGAAGAATTAATACTTATTTAAGGTCAAATATGGCACAAAACAGGTTTACAAATTTAAGTATTCTTAACATTGAGTGAGAATTATCAAACACAATTAAAAATTAAGATATTCTTAATCAATTCGCAGAAAAAGATAGGAAAATATAATTACCTGTATTACAAAAAATAATATTTTATAATAAATGTACTTTGCTGGTGGATATTTAAAATTTTTTTTCTTTATTGAAAATGTTGTTTTTTAAAAAAAATAAATTACAATTTATAATTGTATTATATTTTCTTGTTTATTAAGGATAAAAGACAAGGGTATAGTCGAATAACACCTTCCCTCTGATAAAAATTTTAATTATGGGCTGGAGCCCACTCAATTTAATGGTTCTAGTTACGTCGATGCTTGCAATACTCCATAAAGAAGGATAAGTAACAGGTATGTCCCTCTGAAGGCAGAACTGCTGATACCCATTTCTTAATGTACCTTAAATTCATCATTAGTGCTTATTCCGATCAGTTCTTCTTGTAAGTTCTTCTCGCATATATTTTTGACTTATAACTTTCGTAGATCCCTATTTACACATGATGCACCCTCAATTTTCTTTTTTGTTAACGTAGACCCCTTATAGGTTAGAATCGACCTCTGAGAGTTGATATTGACCACTTTGGAAACCTGTGGTGTACACGAAACTTTAATCGAAGCGACCGTGTGTCTTATCAAAATGAAATGAAATGATATAGAATTATCAGGGGCTGCAATAGTCTCATCAAAAGTATTATACTTTTTATATTATATTAAATTTGTGAATCCTACGTATGGCATTATTAAAAAAAATTATTGTATTTAATGCTTTATAAAAATAATTATTTGTTAATAAACATTCTATATTCGTCTATATTTATGTTGTTCATTTATGGCCCATTCTCCGGGTACACTTTAAAAATATAGAATTAATTTGTGGCCCGATCTGTGGGTAGTAAAATGTAAACAAATATTTTATGCGAAGCAGGTACATAAAATGTGGCCCAATTTCCAACCACCCAAAAAAATCAGGTAAAAATGAGTACATTTGAACTCCACCAGTGAAGAAAATCGAGTAGTAGTATAAAATTAATATGATATATTGTTAAACAAAAATTATAATATTATATAATATCATATCGTTCACATAAAATATTTAAATCAGAGTAAAAGAAATCATCTCAATAGATGTCAACGTATTTGATGTGAGAAGCACTTGGCAATGTGAGCACTGAGCAACAAAAAAAAACTGGCGGAGTTTACAATCGCCTCACTGAATATGATACATCTTACACAATTTATTTTTGTTAAATGTGCAACATGATCAAAATGGTTCGTAAATACTAAATCAATTAATTATATATTTCCTATTAAAAATATTCATACTTTTTGAACGTACATTTTTATTTAATTAATTTGACTACAATAAAATCTATTTTATTATAGTAGGTATCATTTTGCTGTGAATCGCAATATTATAATAGCAAAATTACAATTTTCTAAGAAAGAGATATTTTGAAGAGAAAAAAATTAGTGAAGTTATGGCATCACTTCATATTTCCATTTACACTTAGACCACTAAATGTACAGAAAATAATATGATGATTAATAATTAATATTAATTTCGTAATCTTAAAAATATCTTAATCATATACTGAGCAATGATTTACCCATTTAGTTATACTCAACAATAAACAGTAAACAGATTTATAAATTATGGATTTTGAAATTTGTTTCTTCGAGATATCTTTGAGTTATGCCAGGTTATTAAGGTATATTAATATACCTTAAAACCTTTTAATACAATTGTATTAAATATCTTATTAGCCATTATGAAATAATTATAATAACACTAACGATTGTGTGAACGAATGATTTAACTACCATTTGTCCCGTAGTGTACACTATGTCGCTACAAAATTGTGCTTAGCTCCTTTTACTCTTTACCAGTCAATATAAAACTATATATAGTATATATATTACATATCTGTTGGGTATTCACTCAGAATGTAAAATATACCCTCATTTTCGAAGCCTGAAAAAAAGATACCGATAAATGCATACTTGTATACATATATATATAGTTATGCCTTATAATTGATACTAATTCAATATATTATGGCTTTGACAAAGGCATCAACGTATAATTTAATATGAAGATTAATAAAATGCACGTACACAATCCACTTCGTAGAACACTAAAAAAAAAAAAAATGTACCAATGTATCCATAATTAATTTTCTTTAAATAATGATAACTGTACTAATGGTCTGTGGATTTAGGATTACATCAGCATGGTCTAACCCACAGATTTCCATTACTATTTTTGTACCCTTGAAAATGTGAACATGAATTTAAAAAAAATAATTAATATATGTAAAACAAGAACCACTATTCCATAGTCAATATGTTTTCTTTGATTTATCCTCCTTTCTCCTGTTTGTTATTCAAAATAAATTTTAAAATTGTCCTACAAATTAAAAAAACGATTTTTACCTCACTTAATTACGTGGTGGTGTAGTACGTCTAGTGTTTCCCCTCATCCTAGTAATTTTTAAAATAAATTTGCACCGGAATATTGGTGTTGAGTCGTATGAGGTCGAATAATATAACACGGGGCATATTATTTTTGAAACTATTTACTATTCATTTTTTTGATCTCGAAGGTGACAACCTCATACTAAAGCGATAATTATATTTTGAAAATGAAAACTCAAGCAAATTTTGAGCTGAGATTTATCGTGTTTTTAAGAATTTTTACTATTTTACCATGTCGTCAGACTTGCAGCATTGCACGGTATAAAATAATAATACAGTTTTCGTAAAAAAATATATCATGTTGGTGACATTTATAGTGGAAACATTATATTTTAGAAAGTAAAAAACGGATTAATGCTATTTAAAACTAAATACATAGAAACCGCTTATCTGTTGCTTCATTTACGTATTCATTTTGCATGTCTAATACTTACACGCGTGTCCAGGACCACGGCCGTCGTTCGAAGCTAAAATAAAGAAAACTGCGCGTCCGGCAGTGAATATTTACACGGAACATCCAATACCCATTTAATACCATGTAATTGTTTACCACTTATTAACACCAATTGATTTAATATGAACTCATGTCAACAAGCTTACAGATTGTAGATTAAACTATTCAAATTTGAAAACGATCAATGTACTATAATCACTGAAATATGTAGAAATGTTTATCATAACTGGTGTATAAACCGCGAGAGGTGTAATACGAACTATATACACAAACAATACAAATATTATAAATCTATTTTAAAGGTATTAAAATACATGAGAGTTAACTCTTAATACATTTTATAAAAAAAAAAACATGGTTAGAATTATAAACAATATAGGAGAAGAATACTAAAATCAACGTAATTTTTTAAATAGAGACCACAAATCTTTCATGCTACCTTATGAATATATATATATTAATATTAATTATAATTACTTTATATTTTATACTCTTAAAAAGTAAAACTGTCAACATTCGTGCACAATATAATAATATAAAAAACATGTATAATAATACCGAAGGAATTCCGATGATAAGCGACATGGTTCGGTCGTAGTAGAACGTAACTGCAGTTGTATGATTAAAAAACTGCTTTTTTACGGGCACGTATGATTGATTATCGGTACTAGTTTGAAAAATTCAGTGAATCAAATAACTACAACTCGGAAAGAAAATCGCAAATACTGAATGACGTCGACTGGCAATACTTTAGTTATTAAGAATAACGAACGCCCTAAAGCTGGCTGTAATAACCAATCATGTGGGGCAGAAATACAAAACTGTCGTGTTGAAAAAATTGATAAGGTACGACAGACACGGTTTACAAAACTGCTGCTAACGAAAATCTATCGATGTTCACACGACGAAAACGAAACGATGAGATAAATGACTCGAATAGCAATGTTACCGACGGAAGCTCATAAGTAAGAAATGGATTTAAATTCTTTAAAAAACAAGCAAAATTTTTTAAAAATATAAGATTTAGTGCACTCATAATACACATTTTATTTAAATAAATGCATTATAAAAGTGCTCTTAAATTATTTTTAACTTTGAAATGTGAAATGAACTTTGTACCTACACGGAAAGCAATGTTTTCGGATAATCGAAACAAAATGCAATTCGCGTTAAAATCCATTCCTCGCTCATAAACATAGGCTTAATTAGGGAGGGGCTTGGGGAATTGAGCCCTTCAATTTTAATTTTCACCCCCTCTGGCATAAATCCTAGTCCAAACAAAAGTAACTACATTTTTAAATTTAAATTTAAATGATCACTTTATTTTTTATTAACAACATTTTGGACATTTTTTATTTTTATTTATTATTGGCAAACTATTATATTATTGTTAGTGATGCACTATATAACTAATAAAGTAAAAGTAAATATAAAAATATTCCTCATTTAGAAGAATCAATGTACAGATTCTGTTTTTGTAGCATTGATGTATAAAATGGTGATAACGAATAACGAGTATAGGGGGGGGGTGGTAGAACACATACTTAATTTCCCATTACTATAAAAATGATAGGACTGGAAATCCCTGACTTTAAGGTCTAATTAAGCCAATTCTCATAAGTATATGGAATTATAGTAACAATTACATACGGTATGTTTTAATGTCATCGGGACACAGCACTGCCATATTCCATGTAAATATTGTTCACCATCGCAAATTACGAACAAATACTAAAAATATAAACGGTTATTACTACAAAACTATTTTTACTCTTTGAATTTCGCCACATACCGTCTTAAATACGATTGAACGGTCACTCGAGTTTCGACCACGAAAAACATCGGCCGTCACGCGACCAAACGGAATGATTGTACAAATATGTCACGACGTGAGCACAGCTTTCAGTGGTGCCGAAACAATATGATTTTTCAAAAGTCGACTCGTGTACGTGTTTCCGAGTAATACCAGCGAAACAATCGGTCTCGAATAAACGACGATCGATAAAAAGTACAGCAGCCTAATAGGAGACGGTTGACGACGAACCTGAAAATGTTTAAAAAAAACATTTTACAAACTCGAACGATCGACGCGACGTCACCGTTGTTTTCACGGTAATTTATTATAGTTGCACTGTAACAAGCGTGTGGTAGTATAAGTTTTGCGAGACACATTTCGCGGTCTTTCGCGCGGAACAATGAAATGACAATTTGTGGGCGTTTTATTCGCTTGAACTCTTGAAAACATGAAAGGTTACACATTCGATATCGCGAATATCGCCCGCCCGTTCCAGGTAATTTCGAGAAATGTATTTTAGTTTTGCAAACGCCATCTGCCGGACAAATTTTTTTGTAAAACTTCTGTTCAACGTTCAGCTATAAACCAATTAATTTTTATGAACGAATTCCGCCGATGTTGATATCGAACCGAGTACAAAATAGGAAATAAAAATTTACTATTTACCGATTTTAGCATTTGATCATCGGACAAAGAATTGTCGACTTTTTAAAATTTCTTAGAGTGGAGCATTTGCCATAGTCTGCCTCCCCCCCCCAAAAAATAACACCCCTGAGTCTAGAGGACGTTATTTTTCTTTAAAGTAAACAGAGTCCCCCTTCTTTAATTTTCCCAAGTCGAGCACTGATTTTAGCTTATCTCATACAAATATATTGTAGGGAATCAATAATATTGACTTCATAAACTACATTTTTACTGCTGAAGAACTGTCACCGATTATAAAATTACTTGTACTTTTCTCACAGGTATAGATTTATAACTCCTATGAATAATGACAATAGTTTTTACGGACGAGAAATTAGGATATTGTAAAAAATATATTAAAATATAAAATCGGTAAATAGTGTAAAGACGTTTACAATAACACGTGCAAATGCGTGCGATATATAGGTATGTAAAAATAATCTAAATAATTAACAAACAAAATATGTAAATATGTACGAAAATTAAAAAATAAAATAACCCAACATATAGTCATGCGTTTTTCATTTGTGTAACAATGAAATAGTTCACTCTCTAAATGTTATTATCAGGTATGTCCTTGACATAAAATTATTACCCAGTGGTCGGCAGTGCACATATAATATAATATATTATTTATATTTAAGAAATACTAAAATTATACGTATCAGTAGGTTAAAATATGACAAGCCATTTAAATATGCAAAAAAATATTTCGTGACCAAAACACCCATTTTTACCCATAACTATGTAAATCTGTTTTTTAGTATTTCTATACATTTTTAAAAAGATACCAAAAATGTGAATATTGCTATTCCGAATTGTTTGAACTTATTTGTATGTGTTTAATAGTTATTAATTTAGATTGAGTATTCAATAAAAAAATATTGTTTTCGTTTTTTAGCTAAAGGAGGGCATCGAATATAATATTGAATTCATTGGAAGGTAAATAAATAATTCCTATAAGTACTTGATGTCCTATCTTTTTTTTTTATGGATAAATCTTGATAATATATTAAAAACCCGAATAAAATACATTGAAGTGACTGGCGATCTGCTTATATATATATATACTATAAATCTGCTTCTGCAATTTTATTGAAAAAAAAGCAGTGATGATAAAACTTATACAAGCAATAGCTTTGATAGCTAAGAAAAATAAAGTGGAAGTTTGATACAATTTCAATGAAGGCGTATTCATGAAAACTTAATGATTCAATTTCTAAACTCTTTGTATTTAATATAATACAACGTTTTACTTTTATTTTTATTTTCAATAATTATGGGGTCCCAATATGATAAAACAAATAAATCAATAAAAAATAATTTATATTTGTTCATAAAATTGAATTTGTTATATTTTAAATTCTAATCATAAGAAAAAGTTGGTTAGAACTAATTTCCAAATCTTTTGATTTATAGTAATTTTTAAAATATATTAGGATTGAATCCGCATGTTATAATTTCCAATTAGTAAAATTTATGATTTTATCATAATTATTACGAACGGTCATGGGTCGAAAATTAACATTATTTTCAAGTATTTTAGTAATTTTTCAGCGGGTTTTTTTAGATAGCTAAGAACTATAGAATGAAAATATTTGCACAAGCAATATAATTCATGGCTACAATTTCTGATCGAAAATATTTTTCCGTGGTAAAATAATAGCTGTATTATTTCAGTATTGGTAAAAAAAAAAAAAATTCAATCTATGAATTCCTGGTTCTTTTAGGAATCAAAAACGTATATTCATATGAATTTTGTAATGAATATTTTATTTTGCGATTGAATGATTACGTACGTTTCCTGTAAAAGCTTACGAGAGAAAATCATGTTTTTTCTAATAAAAACGACTGTAGAGTGTTTACATTGCAGTCCCTTGTACTCAAGTGGCCCTGTTCGTGTTAAAGACAGGAAGATATGAAAATATTATAAAAATATAAACGCAATAGCTTACGTAATTCGGTGTTGGTGTTTTGGGTTTCGTCGAGAGTCCAGGCAAACCTTATGTGTTTATTTTTACATTTTATATTCGTCGACCACTTGTTTTCCTTGGTTTTGATTCGAACACCGAGGATTACCGTTACGAAAATCAATCCATGGTCAAAATAAAACCACAGGAATCCCGTGGAGGAAGTGTAATATCATTGATTTTAGTATAATATAAAATCAATGGTAATATCGACGACGAGAGAAAAATCGCGCGAACTGATAAGCCGCCCGAGTCGTTATCACAATACACAGGTTATCTCAGTTATCGCATTAATGGTAACAACGATAATAACCCAGTCTCGACGTCCGTACGGCGCACGGTAGTGGCTAGTGCGTGTGTCATCCGTCTATCGCCGCTTATAACGTGTTATTATTATGATAATAATTGTTGCATTAAAAAAATATTCTTCCGCTCGTCGCATCGAGTTTCCCCTCCACTGCTGCCCGACTGCCCGCAGCTTCCGTTAGTCAACCGCAACGCGTCCCCGTGAGTCATTCCAGAAATAAACGTTCGGCGCACCCTCCGCATTGGCCCACACCTGCTGCAGCAGCGGCACTCGCACTCACGTTCTCCAGCCGGTTCGACGACGTTCACCTTCAACTGTGACGCAGGTCACCGTAATTAAATTCGTTATTGGTGCCAACAATTCGGTCGCTTTTCATTGATTTTGGTGCGTGCAGTGGATTTGATCTTAGACGACGTTACGCGATCGTTCGTATTAATATCGTTATTCCTCCGTCGGTAGTTTCACTGTTTCGTCAACCATGTGAACATCACGGATCACAGTGGAGCGGGAAAACGAACGATTTGTGTGATTCATTAACGTACAAGAACTATGTCTAATTACATTCGTCTTCCTGATAATGCAACATGTACGTGCAGTTACTGTACGAGTAATTTATTATATATGTATTATAATGTTACATTGTATGCTTACATTTTCGTTTGCCGGTGTACGATTTTAGAATGATTCCAAGGATTTGGCCGATTGTCATTATGAAGCGACCGAAACGGTGAGAAACATTTTGAAAAAGCAACTGCTCACGGCCGATCTGTTCCAACAAACGTTTTTGTCCACCATTCTTACTGCTTTGGACAACCACTCCGACAACAATAACAGTACATATTCTTTGTCATTTTCTAGTTGAAAACCTTAACAGTAGTTAATCAGACTCTCTGATTAATTCTTTTTTTTTTTTTACCATAGGTGTCATCAATACTTGGCTGGACACGCTGCTAGATTTTATAGAATTTTTACCTGTTGACTGCTTACAACAAGAGGTTACATATACTTACTAAAATTGTTTTACAGTTTTTCTTTTTTTTAACTTTTTTTTTTGTTAGATTTTACCATTTGCTATTGAAAAAAGCAATATCTCTAAGACTGAATCATCACGTTTGATAAGTTGTCGGATTTTCGGATCTCTTGCCTCAAAATTAAATGGATATATGTAAGCTATTAAATTATTGTCAATGATTTATTAATTTTCACAAAACATTTTGTTTTTACAGTATTAAACGTGAAATATGGCCATGTATTTTATCGCTTTGTCAAGACGAAAGTGTTCTAGTAAGGAAAACTGTTTGCCAAGAGCTAAGTAAAGTCAGTGCATTTCTTAAAGATGATACTGACAACCTAAAAGACTGTGTATTGTTGCCTGCCATTGTGGACCTGGCCAATGATGCTGATTATGGTGTTAAAGTTGCTATGCTCAATGTGATAGTTGATATAATACCATGCTTTCCGAAGGAAACAATTATCACTGTAATATTACCTATGGTTAAAAAATTAATTGATACCAATATTAATAAAAGTACTATATTGGTAGTTGCTGTTGCCAAGAATTATGGTATTATTTGTAAAGCTCTAAAAGGTAAGTAATTAATTTAAGTCTTAAGTATATAATTTATTATTAATTATTGTATACATTTATTTTTTCCGTGTTAGATGAATAATAAATTTTATGAATTTCAGATTATCTAAATTTTGATGATGTTTCTTGGTTTATAAATAAATACACAGATTTATTAAATGTAGATCAAATTTCTGAGCACCCATGTAATAATGTGAGTATAAATAATTTTTCTATGTGTATTGTTAAAATATTCATGTACATTATGATTAATTTTATACTGTTAATTAATTCCATTTTATGTTTTTAAATTAATTTAACATATTATTCATCATTCCAAAAAGATGTCTTTTAATATGTCATTGAATTGAAGCTTTGTGATAAAGCCATATATCTTATATATATATATATATATATATATATGACTTTTATATCTTTATTTCAAACTGCTTCAAAGTTTAAATTGGACACATGAGTTAAATGTTAAATTTACACTACTGATTAACTATTAATCTATCAGGCATTTATTTTAGATTTTCACAGCTTACCCTTCTCTACTTTTCTCTTACATTTCATTATTTTACTGTGCATAGGTAATATTTTTATTAAAAACTATTTAAAAATCTCTACAACATACCTCTACTCAATATTTACTGACACAAATGTATTAATATTTTAATTAATTTAATGTAGTAAATTAAATTTGAAATGTTGATAATATTTATTATTTGATATTTCTATTTAATTTTGTAATCAACAATGTTATTAGTTTATTAAAATTAATAATAACTAAAATATTTTTTCACAAATTCAATGTTATAGTTTAAAATAGTAAAAAAATAATTTTTTTATTAAAATACTTAATTAGATACATTTTCAAGCTCCATATTACATATAAAATAGATACTAAGTTATGTTTTATATAATAATAAACTAAAACAAGAGTTTAATTCTATTTCATATTTGATACTGGTTTTAGTAATTTAACAATATGATTTAAATATTTAATACATTATCAAATACTGAATACTAAATACCTATGGAATGATTGAATTATTTATTTATTTTATTTTATACACATAACGGGCCGTGGCCCAAAGTACAGTGGTGATAGATAATATATTATAACATTAAAAAGTAATTACATAATATTATTAAAAAATTATGTGCTGTAAATGATAAAATAAGTTATTAAAATATATTTAAATATCTAATTACTTATTTAATTGTTTACATCAATAGGACAATTATATTTATGAACAACCGTATTTGACTGTTCAAATGTATTGTGCTAGAAGTTTAACAGATATTGTACTTTTAAGTTCATCGGACAAGGGCAGTACAACATTGCTAATTTTTTTGATCAATCATTTAATTGATTTAGTCACAGATAGTTATGTGGAGATAAAAATAGCGTTAGTTGGTGTTATCAAAGAAGTAATTATTTTTATATAACTAGAAATAATTTTTTTAAATGATTACTTATTGTTTTTTTTTTTAGGTTTTAGTGACTCTTAATGATAAAGTTGTATTGATTTCTTCGGTTTTAATGAAATTATTGTCTGAAAGAAATATTAAAGTTTTAAAAGTACTGATTCCCAATTTAAGCTTTATGATAACAAAAATGGTAAAAATCAGTTCTTAATTTTACGTAATGCTATTTTTTATACTTAAAGTATATTTGTATTTTCAAGAAATACCAAGAACAAGTATTGAAATCATTAATGCTTTTAGAAGAATATTTATGTGCTCAATACAACTGGAGATTGTATACTGAATTTTTGCACCAGTTAATGGTATTACCAACTTGTTATACATCCGACCAAGTATTTCGTGTGGGTAGAGTGATGTTCGATAGATTGGAATGTGTTAGTATATATAAATTAAATATTTATATTTCATTTTTTTGCATATAAAATATTAACTATTTCACTATTTGATATATTTAAGAATTATTATTCTTTTCAGAGACAAAAACCAATCAAAGAAGCTGTTTGCACATTGTTATTGACTATTTTACGTTACAATTTAGATGCTAATCAAAGAACCTTACTGCGCGAACACCTTATTGACCGTAACTATACTAATAACATTTTTAAATTAATTGATGATGTAAAATTAGTATTTTTCCATTGTTAAACTTAACATTACTTGCTAATATTATATGTTCAGTATACAATTGGTATTTTATGATCATAAAATGAAAAACTCAAAAAAGTAATGAAAATAAGATTTGAAACACATTTTGGAGAGAGGAAATAAAATTGAGATAGGCATCAAGGAAAATAATTTTTTGGAGAATTCAGAATCTTAAAATTATCATGTAAAAATTACTCAAAATTTAGTATGATGGTTGTTTAAAATAAGACTTTATTTTGAATATATTAAATTTTCATCTGGTACTTAGTGAGATAAGGATTTATTTTTATTATACCCCATTTTAAAAGATTAAGTTTAGTCTTCAAGGCAATTTGAAGAGGTAAAATTGTTAGTATTTTGTTTGATAAAAAATTTAAACTTTTAGACCTCTTCCAACTGTCATAATTATATGCTGGATATTGATTCAAGTTTAGGAAAAGAGTGATGTGATAAGAGAATTACTTTACCAACAGCAAATATTTTAGTTTTAACAATCAGGACATGATTTAAAAATAAACTTATTAAGTTTTTATAATATTTTGGGTATAATTAAATGCTAGCAAATAATATAATTGATTATAAGTACTTGTATTTATTATCAATGGTAATATTATAATTAATATTTATTTTCACATACTTTTTCTTTTATTTTTCAGGTACAGTACAAAGTCCGAGTTTTTATAGAAGAACATTTTACATATTTATTTGTCAAGAAGCTTTGAATTTATTTTCAACAGCATATTTTAAAAAACATTTTTTTTCAGCTTTGCTAATGTTAGCAGGTATGTAGTATGTATGAAATATATTAATACAGAATGCACCACTTTATTTTCTTAAGATTATGTATGATCTATTTGATTTCTTATACATTTTTCAGATGATAAAGTAGCAAATATTAGATACAGTTTATGTAATATCATGCCTAATTTAGTAAATATATTTAAGATTTCAACTGAAAAATCTTTAGTTGATAAATTAATATGTACTATAAACATACTTTTGGTTGATGAGGACCGGTCTGTTCTGGAACAACGTCCTATCTTGGAGTACTGCAATGCTTCTATTAACCATATAATACAGGTAAATGTAGTAAATTGTTTTATACTTATGTATGATTTATTTCATATCTCCTTATGCTGATCATTTTGATATGTTTTGATATTATGAATAACTTGAACATTTCTATATGGTTAATAGATAGAATATGTAGATAACTTAATTTTTTTTCTGAAGTAGTTAATGAAATAATTACTTAAATTATCATTTATTTGTTTAATATTTACTTTTTAGTTGTATTTATAATTATGAAATATCAGTTACGCATCATATGTATTTATGTGATTAAGAATTAAAAAAATATTTACTATTATTTATAGAGTAATAAGTCTATGTCAGAGTATGCAAAAACTGATGACGATATGATAAAATTCAGAGAAGAATCTTGTTTGTTACTTATGAAGCCATCTGAACGTATTAATTTAGATAACAGTGGCATGTTCTTGAGAAGTCTTATTGAAGAAAAGATGTGTTCAAGTCAGATAGATGATTGTATGAATGTAAATTAAAATTTTGTGTTTTTTTATTTATATGGAGTTTTTTTTTCAGGTTCAAGAATATCAAATGAAGATGGTAAAATTTCTTTAGCTAGTAAAAAGGCATTGTAAGTCTATAAATATGAACTAATACATTTTTTTTTTTTATATCATATATACTAAAATTTATAATATTATTTATTTATATATATATATATATATATATATAAATATTATTTATAATTTATAAATATACTAAAACAATATTTTCTTTTATTGTAAAATTCATTATATATTTAATACTCAATTAAGTTGATTTAGAAATTTAATTATTATATTGGTCGGTATTTAGAAAAAAGTATGAATAATTTATTATCATCATTATGTTTCCATTTCACAAATACATTTGAGTTATTTGTGAGTTTGAATGATTTTGTTCATCACTAGTTGTTGATACTAAATATTTTTAATTTTTTTTTTTTGTTTTCGGGAAATCTGTTATTATTAGACATCTAAACTTTTCCCATTGATACATGACCAAAGAGTATTAGCAAATATAATAAAGAGTTTTAGATAACCAGAAAATAAGAAAATACTAATTGTTTTTTAAATATTTAATAAAACTTCAAATAAAAATAATATAAAATTTCTTAATGACTTTCAATATAACTCATTTTATCTTAATGTTTAACCAGAGGCATAGAAAACTTTCTAGTACCACAAACAAATTAACCTTTTTACCAATTTAAAATTTGATGAGATGATATTTTTTTTAACTTTTAATTTTACTAATTTTAATAATTTGTGTTTATTAGTTACTATTATATTATACATTTTAAACTTTAAAAATTGCTTTTCTCATTATAAGCCTGGTGAATGCATTGATAATTTCTTCTCTCAAAATTTCCTGTATATAAATTCACTAGCGGGATTTTCATATTTTCATCATTAAATTCACTAGTAGTGTGTACAATTAGACAAATTCTACATATTTCAAAAAGTTTAATGGAAACATTTCATTTTCAAGGTAGAATAAAAATGCGACTTTTGCGCCTCTGGCATATGCATAGTTTGCCATACCCTTGCTACGCAACTGTGTTTAACTTGTAGTCACAATAAGTGAAGTGCAGAGAAAAGTTTTACACTCTAGTACATGTATGCCAAATAGATAATGAATTAGATTGCAGCTCCCACTTAAGCACTATTAATCAATTGAACAAAATGCCTATTTTATTTTATTTTACTTTAAGAATTTAATAGATAATGATTGTGTTATATTTTTAGTATGTTGGAGTCAGAGTTCATTAAAGATACTGGTGTTTCTATTAACAAAATGATGGAGCATTCATCAAAAATACCTACACCTGTGTATCAAACTCTTGCCGATACAAAAAATAGTAAACCATCCAAAGAAACAAAAATTTCTCATTTGCCAATAAAAAAAGATAGAAAAAATTCTCCGGTTTATCGATCTCAAAAAAGATATGATAGCAATGAACATGTAATAACTCGAACAACAAATATCACTAAAAGAAATGCAACATCACGTGGGAAAAGATTAAGTGTACCTGTAATGTCTAGTATCAATGTTGACATCACAAAAGATGCAAATGGTAACCTAGTAAAGTTTGCATCCAAAAGACCACAATCGTGCTATGTAGAAAATCATATTGTGTCAAAAAATAAAATTGAAAAATCATTATCTGATGAAGCTTTGGATAAAACATCTAAGAATAAACCGTTGAGTCGTCTTCCAATAAGGTATTTGAAAAAATATATATTTTCACTTAAAAATTATAATTTATTAATTAATTAATTTTATGGTTTCAGAAAATCGCAAGGTAAATGAAATGTAGTTTTCCATTAGGTTAAAATTGAAACTATTGATCTTATGCCAAATTAAAATATCTTAGCTGTGATAAATATTCAGTATACGCACCAAAAATAAAGAAATCAATTATATTATTGTAGGTACAAATGTTTTAACTTAAAATGTATATTTATTTACATATCTTAATTTAGTGTATGTATTTCATTGTTAAGTTTAATAATATCTTTTTACAGTATTTATAGATTTTTAGGAATATATTTTATATAAATTATTATTAAATATTATTATTAAATGCAAGTTAAACTTGTTTATATGGGAGTAGTTTAAGTTACTATAAAGAAGTTTTAAAAAAGCAAATATTTAAATATTTTACTCAAATACTTTTACATATATAAATATTTTTTGATTAAGTTAATGTCCGAATTAATTAATTTAGAAATGTTTAATTAATAATTCTAAACATTGACAAGTACAAATTTTTTTTCATATTCATCTTAAAAAAAAATTAATTTTGACAGATTTATAATATAGTATTGATAAAATATATTATTATATAATATATTATTTTATAATTCTTATTTTTTTAATGGTATTTTACAATTTTATCCCTTTTTTTTCTTTTAAATCATACTCAAAATTATCATTTTTTATTAAGCCTTTGTACACTACAAAGAGTTAATTTCTATTTTAGAGATAAATAATTGAAATAAACTTAAGTTATATTAATTAAATTTTAATAATTATTTCAAGACTTAAAATTTATGGAATGTAATTTAGTATAATTACTTTACTGCTCTAGAAATGTGCACATGATTAAGTGTTTGAACTACTCCCATTGTGTTTTTATTTATATAACCAAAATACGATAAGTGCAATTATTTAAAGTATTAATTTATAGTTATATTGTATGTTTAAATTGAAGTAGTAATTGATAACTAACCAAATGTCTGTAGTGTTTTAATTGTAGTCAAACCATGGCTCTTGTTAATAATAAAAAATATTTAGAAAGTTTTGTTATAATATATTTATTAGAAAATTATGGAAGTTATTTAATATTTATGAAATTACCTTTAAACAGAAGCTATGGGTATGTATTTTAAAACTTTTTATAATGAGAAGATGCATATTTTGTTACCATTTTGAGGTGGCTCTAGTACATCAATGATATTAAAATCATAAAAACCATAAATTTGAATGTAAAATGGTTGCTATACTGGTTGCTTAGATAGCAAATTTTTCCAATAGTAGCTTTTGTGATGATAAATGTTAATTACAATCTTCAATATTTTTATTGGAAAAGAGAACAGTTGGATTACAATTTATAATACTTTTTACAATAGGTAGTGTAAATAGCAGATAAAATCTCTTCTTTTTTTTTTTTTATATATTAATTGAATGGGTGTCTAATAACATATCTGCTTCAAATTCTAGATGTTAATATTTATATATATATATATATATTAATTTATTGAAATGTAGGACTAATCACTATTGAGAGAGGAGAAGGAAATTGGAATGTTTTTTTGTGAAATAGTTTATAGTAGTGAGGGACTAGTGTATGAATCTATGGAATTTTGAGATCTGAATATAAGGTAATTTTGTTAATATGTCAATGATTTAATTATGTAAAAAAAATGATTCTGATTCAAACTCAGTGGGTTATTATATAATATTATTTGTATTTGTTGAGAAAGATTTGGAATCAAAAGTAAATTATTTCAAAACATGATCTTTTAAAATCATGTAGAATATAATTGATTTCAATTAATGGGTAATACTAGAAAAAAGATTATATTTACATTCATAGTGGTTATGAGTTGTTATATAAATTTAATTTTAAAGATTGTAATTGTGATGTTATTTATCCTTATTTTTAGTATTAATCTTGATCTAAATAATAATCTATATCCTGATGCTTCAATTGATACATTTTCTGAAATCTTTTATCATTGATTCAGTTTATTTTTTCCTAAAACTAATATTTATAATAACTATTACTCTATATGGGCAAGTACAGATCTCAAAAACTATAATGAAAAATAAGGGTGCTTATATAACAATATAAACTGCGTTTCTACATACTTATTATCTAGAATATTTAAATTTTCGAAAAAATGTTAACACTTAAATTAAATCTGTTAAGTTTCTGATATATAAAAAAGTATTCTATTAATATTAAAGCATTGTGAAATTATATAAATTCTTTGAAAAAACAAGGAAATTTTACTGGATTATGTAAAATATAATAATTTATTATCATCAAATATCTCTGTTACTGTCAGTTTGCAAATTATTTTATGTGTCTATCTATGTCAATGATTCAATGAACTGTAATGTAGCTGTTCCATTTCCTAATTTTCCATCAAATAATAATTATGTTGATTTAAGTTCTTGAATGTAGCACGTGTACACATAAAACCACTTTACTATTACTATTATTATAATTACTATTTTTAATAAATCTATGAGTGGTATTTTTGCGGATTTTTTATAAAAATCTTTTGTTTCATTGGTTCAAAAAAGCAGGAAATATTTATATTTATATTATTTAGCAGGAAAAGCAGGACTTATTATTATTAACTATTGGTCGATTTCTAAAATCTCCATTATTTCCAAAATGTTTAAATCTATTAATTATATAAAAGTTGTCCATAATTGTTTATTTTCTTATTTCTAATAAACAACATGGTTTCAGGTTACAAATGTCAGTTGCCACTAATATTTAATTAGCTATTTAATCAGTATAAGATACTTAGAGCCCTAAATAATGGTGTACAGTTAGATTCTATTCATACTAACTTTCAATAAAGTTAACCTTCTAAATAAATTAGCTACATTTGGTATCCATGGACAATTTTTAAATTGGATAAAGTCCTATTTAAGTTGTTGTATACAAGCTGTAAGACCATCCTATTGTATTTCAAACTATTTTTCAGTTAGTTCTGGTATACTTCAAGGTTCCTATTTAGGACCTATTTTATTCATAATATTAACGATTTGTCTTTTATTTTTAATACCATGGTTGACATGCTTCTTTGCTGGTGATGCACAAATATTTTCCATTATTAATTCTCATTCTGATTCTTTAAATTGATAGTAAAATTTTATTAAATTAGTCTGTGGAAGTTGCTAAAATAGGTTATCATAAAATATTAAAAATGTTATGTTATTAATTTTTCCCATTCCGATTATGCAATTAACTATGTTAATAATATTAATAACTGTTTCATAAATAGAGGTTAGCGAAATGGGCGACTGTCAAGGGCGCAGCTAAATAAGAAGGGGGACTGCATTTCAGTTAAATTAAAATTATATTCGCCTAGGGTGGTTATGGCACTGCAAAAGTAATTTTAATAGAAATCTTGGGATTATTGTTGATTGTAATATGTCTATTTTAACTCACATAATTTATTTTATTAAAATCACTTTTAAGATATTGGATTTTATTGAAATACAGTTAATTTTATAAACGTTTTTGCTTTAAAAACATTATTTGCTTATATATTTGCTATATATATTTGCTTAAATTTCATCTTGAGTACGGGTATAAACCCGTACTATTGAATTTGGTCACCTATTTAATTTACAAATATTAATTAACATTTTCAGTATTCATCTATAATGTATAATTATAATTTATAGTGTATTTTAAACTAAATATACCCACATCTAAGAAATCGTACATACGTAGACCTTCAAATTGGAATCAATGTTTTGTGAAACTTTCTTATTTTTCTCCAGAATTTTTTTTAAGTTTGGGTTTAGTACAATCGTTCATCATTTAAGAAAATCTAAATTGTTTCATGCAACATCCTACAAAAATAACTATAGTTTCACCTCAGAGCTTTTACATTAGCGAACCATATCGTGGATCAAGTGGACTTTTTCTTCATGTCACGTAATGTTTTTAAGTAAAATGAAAGTTTTAAATACAGTTGTAAATCAACATATTCTTCTTCAGCAGCTTGATCCTTTTTTTTAAAATTTTTAAAATTCTTGTTAAAATATTTGTACAATAACCTGTGACGAATATAATAGCATCAGGGGTGTAATTACGGGAGGAATATAGGGGATAGATCCCCCCCCTATAAGCTGTATTTACATATTGTCTTAAATAGCTCAAATACAAACTTATAAATTATTACGAAACTAAAAAAAACCCGATTTTAAATATTTATCCGTAAATGTCTATGTTTTCTTTAATACACCAAAACGTCAAAATGTACTTTTAACCAACATTGAAAATAGTAATGAGGATCCTAAGGTTAAAACTTAAAAAAGATTATGTGCTACACCAGTGATTTTTAACCTTTTTAACAATGCGGCACACTTCATCTCCAACAAAATTTTCGCGGCACACTAATCCATATATTATGTGAACCATATTTTATATATATATATATATACTGTTTACAGTCTACTCTATTAGAGGGTTATTTATTGAGAAATATATTAATACAATCGATCGATCGAGACGACTGCGACCGGCATACTTACAATAAATAATATTGTATGTATCTACGATTACTTTGATCAGTTTTCATTTCGAATATCAGTAATAAGCTGGTAAATACATATTTATAAAACAATTTATAGATTTATCGCGGCACATTTAAAGGGCGCTCGCGGCACACCGGTTAGGAACCACTGTGCTAGACGACGGGTGCAGCGTTTTGATGCGATAACAAATTTCAATGAACTATTTATATTCGTAGTTGAATCTTAGAAAATATTTCTAATTAGAGTGATTCCACTGCAACGGAAACTAATATACTAATATACTATTAAAAGCTATCGATTCAGAATTTCTTATATTCTTACAAATTATACAAGTAAATAGTAACTAATAAATATAATTTATTTTATTTTATAATAAAATATTTTTCTAGTTGGTTTTTTTTTTTTGGATCACTTTTGTATAAGTTTTTATAAAAATAAAAAATTAATTTAAGAGAAGCAGTAAGCCTTGTTGAAAATATTATCATTGTATTAAAAAATATCATATTAAATTGTGATACTGAATTTCAGAAATTGTTTTTGCTTGCAAAAGTAAGTATACTAAAATAAAGTATATTATTATATGAATTATATGAAAAGAATTATGTTTATATTTGGCATTTGTAATAGGAGATATCACTAATTATAGATACAGACTTGAATACTAAAACAATATCTAAACAATAAGTAAATCGAACAAACCTTGATCCCAATTTAAATGTTGAAAAATACTACAAAGTGTCAGTATTTATACTTTACTTGGACTTTTTTATACAACAACTAGAAGAAAGATATTGAATCCGTTCTCAAATTTTTGAAAGTACCTATGTTAAATTGGGCGATGCCCGTTTCCACCAATACTCTTTTTCACCAAAATTGTATCCTTCCTTTTTCCGCCAAATGAGATATTGACCACGTTTTTACCAAAATAATTGTATACTACGCTTAAATTAAAAGCTACAGTACAGTAATAATTTTATTTAACATATACTATTAATTCAATAAATGTAAAGACATTATATAATATATACAACATAGGTTGGAAAATGTTAAATTTTATTTAAAAAAATTGTTAAATATAAAAAGGTGAAAAAACGATATAATAATTATTATGGTATACAATACCTTAGTTATGTAAATTGTAACTATATATAAAATTAGTTAATATTTGTTAACTGGTCCAATAAAAAATTTAAAGTTGTTTAGTACTAGTGTTTTGTTTCCACGTTTACTTTCGATAACTTTAGATAAAGGAGGTGCGGGGGGCAATGCCCCCCCACAAGTTTATCATACAAATTAATTTTGATCCCCCCCCCCCTATGAAACATTCTCAATTACGCTACTTACTGAAAAGTATCACTCACAAGTACAATTGTTGTTCCCGTTTAAAACGAAATAAATAAACAGATGCATTTGTCGGAACGTTTTTATTTTCATTTTCACTACCAGGTCTTATTCTAACGGGCAGTACGACTAAAATTGGGTAGTAGGAAAAATCAAAAAGGCAGTTGACTTTATGAATATGGGCACCATAAAATATAATTTTCCATATAGAATGATTGAATTTCTGCTGAGTATTTGAAATTTGTGTAATTTATAAACCCAACCTAGTACCTAATAAGTAATAATTATGTACGTTCACAATATTTGTTGTTTTGACGATTGATTAATCTATGAAATTTAAATAGTTATATACGTATACCAGAAAAGATCCATATTTCTATTTTATTTCACCACGTGACTGTCAAAATTCTAAAATATCAATATACCATTTATCTGGGGAGGGGGTAAGTATTATGATCCACAATATATTTCATAAAACAAACTTTTCAGTGTGTTCGGGCTGTAGGTGAAATTCCTTAAAATAAGCCCTGTTCACTACTGAACTCAACCTGGGACGAAGATAATGAAAAAAAAAAAAAGAGAGAAATAAATGTTAAAAAGTGCTTTGCTAACTGTGGCGGCGGTGCATAGGTATGTATTTTTCGTCGTCGTCGTCGTCGTCTTAAACCCGAACGGCTTTTTGCGACGGTGGTTATGTATTTTTGCGCAACAACAGATATCCCGTCACCGATCGATTGTCGCGCGTGCATATTTATATTTACGTACGTGTGTTGTTACACTGTTATAAAATGGTGAGCGGGGCGCGACGGAGATAATAACAGTTATGACAACAACAGCGTGTCGACAGCGTCAGTAGTATATCGATGGGCGCTATGCGTTACCCGCACGAGGAGACGTTTTGCGCGGAGTAGCGCGTCCCGGGGGGGGGGGGGGGAGGGGAGGAAAAAAAAAAAAAACCCTCCCGGGGGGGGGGGGGGGATGTTCAACGGGGTAGTACGAGCGCGAGTACGAGTAGCGCGCGACGGATGATGATGGACCGGTGCCAAAAGTCTCGTGTACCGGAAGACGGCGGCCGGTGACATGCAAAACAAGCGATTCCTTCCATCTGTAAGGCGCCGATAACGTCGTGTTCGCGCGAGTGCCGCAGATGAGCTTTCGCGCGGCGGCGGCGGTGAATAATGGTTACGCGCGTATAAGATATTATTTTCACGCTTCTCCTACGGGCCCGACCCGCGTTCCCCTCGTGCGCAGCAGTGGCACCTCGACAATATCGTGTCACGCCCCAACGGGTAAATAATAATACGGCGGAGGCGTCGGGAGAAGAAAAATTACGTCCGCGGTAGAAAATAAAAAAAAAAAATTTAGAAAAACCACGTACGCCCGTTATTGTCGCAATGTATACGTTACCGTTGTGCGCGATATTAACGCCGGTGCAACCCTTTTTCTCCTCCCATAGTTTTTGGCACGCTCGCACTTATTTTCTAATGTTCGTACAATGGAAATCGTTTTGCTTCGATATCATCGATTCTGTATTTACACACGATATATTATAAAATCTATTACAAGCATATTTATGTATGGGTACCTGTATTTTGTTTTCACACGTATTTACAGACGTTCGTCCGATAATGGAAGAAAAAAAAGTTATATTTTAAAAAGAAATCGTGAAAAACGCTGCGAAATACCTACTTAGTTCGATATCACGGGAAATAACGTTTACCCTGAAGCAAGTATGTACCTTGTGTATTGAATATGGTATGTAGGTATTTACCACAGATTATATGAATAGAATATTATATATTATATTCATATAATCTGTGGTATTTACCGACAGTTGTTTAATGGTTTCCGATGAAAAACGGATACCAAGTAAAAGTATCCATCTCATTATTTTACAGTTCTCTTCTTGATTTCTTTATGAATTCTATGGATTGTAAAATATAACCGTTGTTTTCATAAATGTGTTCATTTTTAGTTTCATTTCAGTTTATTATTAGACAAAGTTCTGCATACGAATGGGGAAAATACAGTGACCATTGTTTTTACAATATGTTACAAAATCAATGATTCCACGTTCAAGTTTCCAGGAGTGACATATTCATATATGATGGTCAGGTATATTGTTATTTCAAGTTAAACATGTAGAAAATGTATTTGATTTCTATGCCGATGCTAACCGTATTTTTTTAAATAGCTGAATTAAATTTAAAGCACGATTATCGATTAAAAATGTATTTGAATACAACTAAATACACATTCGTACTGTTTGCGCAAATGTTAGCGAAATAGAAAATAGTTTTACAGTTTTTTATTTTAATTTTAAAATCCTATTTAATAAAAAAATCTAAAGCAGTGGCATAGACCAGTGATTCTCAACCTGGGGCCGTAAAATATTTATTTAATTTAAAATTCTTGAAACTGAATTTAATGAAAACAATTTACTACATTTTGGTTAAGGCGACAGAAAGAGTAACCTGTAATTTCGAAAGCGACTTAACTTATATTAATACCATTTGCATCGACATATCTTTGTGAAACTGCATTTTCATAACTTCAAATTATAAAAAACAAACATAGATCATGCATTTCACAACAGTCTTTAGAAGCAAACTCACGTATTTCAGTTTCAAATATTACAACTAACACAAATATGTTATGCGAAAATATGCAAGCCCAACCGTCACATTAATAATTATAACATTTTTATTATTATTAACTTAGTCTGTTTGAAACCAAATCAATATTACTATTGAATACTTTTGAATTGCTTTATAGTTATTACTAGGGCTATCGACTTCATGCCCTTAAAAACTTTAAAATATGTATGCATTTATGCCCTAAAGAATCAATAAATATGCTATTAAAATATGTGTATAAAAAAAATTTTATTTGTAATAATTAATTTAATAAAAAAATTTAATTAATAATAATATTTTTAGATATGATAGATATGATGATCTGAGATAATTATTTTCTTTTTTTCAAATTTGTATTCATCTTACATTGAGTTTTTGTGAAAAACAAAAAATTTAAAAATGTTTTAAAAATAAATAAAATTAAAAACAATTTTTATATTTTTAATATAGTTATGATTACTTTGAGCATTACATTTGACTGTAAGATATTTTCTTAAGTTGGGAAATTTAAATGACCGCCTGTTATCAACCAAAATATTATTATATTTAGAAAAGGAACGTTTCACGTCTACGGAACTTAATGGTGCAAGCTTAGAAAATGGTAGGTTCTAATACTACAATCTGCAGGCAATCCATCAATTGATTTATTTTTTCCATTTGAAATGTTCGATATTTTTTGTAGTTGATCAAATTCAACCTTTTTCTCCAAAACTTTTGTAATTTTGTCATCAATTGCCTTAGCTTATGCAGATCCTTCAATTTTTGAAGAATGTATATGTTCTTTTGTAGTTATAATTATTTTTATGCATTCAATCAGTGCACCAATAAGACACCTTGAGTTCCAAGTCGAGAAATATCTTCATATATTCAAATTCATAACTTTTTTTTATAAAATTAAATAACTTACTCCTTCATATAAATAATTGTCAAATATGCACTTATAAAATAAAAAATGAACAAATATGCACTTATAAATGAAAAATGGTCAAATATGCAAAATATGCAGCTACAAATTTTATGTATAAACTTGTATTGCTCTGAAATAAATTTATGTATTACTTAGCTATAATTTATTTGTGGGAAATAGTGCATGTAAATTTAGTATATCATTAACAATAAAAAAATTAATGATTTTAATTGAGGGGGACTTGACAGTTTTACATAAAATTTAAGCCCTAAAACAAAAAAGGTTGAGAAGCACTGGCGTAGACAACCCCCTTGAATTTTTTTTTTTATCTACATTTTAGTCCTCCTCTCAAAATAAGAAAATTCTACCTACGCGTCTGATCCAAACATCGGTTAACAACATTTTATCACATCAATAATTAAATATTAAAATACTTTAAATATTAAACAACCGTCATGTTTCGATGTTCACGATTTTGTTCCGTTAACTGAAGTAATACGTATGGTAAAGCCGGGTACATACCAGAGCATTTAATTGTAATGTAACAGAGGTCATGCTCATTTGAATGTTAAATATTACAAACGACCGGTATGTACGATTAGGTTCGAGCACTACATTGTATCGGTTGTTCGCCGGTTTATCCATCAGTTATTCACAATTTGTTCTCATGTAATATCGTGTACATTGTCTTCTACCAATTTACAAGTCCCTAGCGCATCATTTATTTTAATTCATTATATTTTAGAAAAAATAAAAAATAAAAACGTAAAAGGAAATAGTGGTAACAAACGAATTAAATGAGTTAAAGGACCTGGGGCGAATCTAGTGTCTCATTTTGGGAAAAGGGGCCCTTTTGAAAGAATAACCAACTAAAATAATTAAAAATGGATATTTTAAATTTATCGAATAAAAATTATTACTTTTAAAAGTAATGATTTAAATTGTACCAAACCATCGTGCATTTCAATCCATTGTGTTTGGCATAATCCTTTTAATTTGTGATTCAAAATATTTTTTAAAACAAATTGCCGTTTTGCAGAACCATAAAAAAACGCAATAACTTCTTTCAATATACTGATATTATTTCTGACAGAAGTTACTATAGATGTACAAGAAAGAGAAATATTTAAAGCATGGACAGCGTGCAGCTATTAGGACTGTTGGACATTATTTTAAAATAGTAGTTATGGCGTCAACATTTTTTAAGTCATTACACTGTATCCATCAGTTCCTACGCCTATATAAAATTTTAAAATTGAGTTCAAGATCTTTTAAAATATCTAATATAATATGACTAATAGCGAGTCCTGTTAGTTTTGACTCTCCAGATGTGATATCACCCACATTAATGCAGTGACACGTAATCAAGGAGGCTATAGCCCTTCATGGATCGTGTTTATGTGCTTGTACTATACTAGTATACTACTATTTAGTATTTAAGTATTTGGTCTTCTTAGTCAGACTTCTCGGCTTCTCCTGGATCCGCCACTAATAGGGACATATGTAATGTATCAGATTTATTAAATAATCTTCAGCAACAGGAAATAAGTGGACAATACAGAGATTTCATTAGAATGTCGTTTGTTTTTGAATATTTAATAAATTTGATCAGTCCAAAAATTTCAAAACGAGACAAAAATTCCCGAAAAGCCATTCCTGTGCAAAAATATGAGTTGTCACGTTACGATTTTTGGCAGCCGGTGATTCATATCAAAGTTTGCAATACATTTTTGAAATGTCAGAACAAGTTATTGCGTTTCGCAAATTTATTAAAATATTTTTGGTCTTTTGGGAACTATAGTACCGGTTTATTTTTGTATCTCTCAATTAAGTCTGACACTTGTTCATTATTTCATTCAATTCTTTAAATTAAAATTAAATTAATACAAATATATCAAATGAATATACAAGCATATTACTGGGTGATTCACTGCAAGCAACTAATTAATTGCGTGATGTCGTAATGTAACATTTCTTTGATATTCGTTAGAATGTCGACATTCGGGTGGATCAACGGCTTCACGAGCTGAATACGTGCGACTGATACAATAACACAGTACACACTTGAACATTACAGTTACATTAGAAAATATATATTTTGTATAAATGCTCCGGTGTGTAAGAAAAAAATCCAACTCATTGTGTACACCTTTTTTGTACATTTTTGTTGCACGCTGAAATGTATATTATGTCATCTATATAGCTAACAAACGGCGATATTACAATTTTGTCCATTTTTTAGAAAAATGTACCAATGCTAAGAAAAAATGATCTTGCACATTGTTCCGATCGTAACTCAAGTAATTGTATTATTCGAATCGATTTTCCGTGAATTTATATTACATTTTAATAATATTTTATTTTAAATAATGAGAGCAAGTAATAAAACTTTTAAAACTTTTAACAAATAAAATATAAATAACATAAACAATGCAAACCATTTGAGAAAGAAAGTGTATACTTTTCATGTAATTTATTTGTTTTAAATTCTATTAAAAAAATGAATTATGTATAGTTAAGATGATTTTGGTTACAGAATGTTACGATGTTTTTGTACAATTTCAAAATTACAATATATTTAAATTTTTACAATATATATTTATTTTTTGGATGACAAGAAAAACAAAATTCAAAATAATAAGTTAGGATTCAATCTGGAACAATAGCACATTTTTTTTCTCCTTCTCTGAATCTGACGGTGTACCTATACGCTATAATTATTATAATTTTATGCTTATAATTAGGGACCGGATTTATATGCAAATTCATATATGTATTGGAATAAGCTTTTTAAAATCTGATGAGCATTGTCCCCGGTTTAGATCTTTCTTATAAAAATAACTCTAATTTTATTTTGCATATTTTGCATATTTCAACGTTTTTACCTATTAAATGCATATTCAATGCATATTTGTAGTTTTATAGTGCATATTATTATTAATAGCACATATATTCGTTTCGTCGTATTTTCACGATCACAGCCACATAATGTCGATAAAATTGTGACCGGTTCTTATTTCCAAAGATAAGATTACATACTCATATCATCCAATGCAATAAGGTAAAATATGAATTCAATTTTTGTTTTCACTTTTTATTAATGTTGGTATTTATACTTTATAGATTGAAGATAAAGAATGTTAAAGGCGATAAAGACGATAAAATATTTTAAAAGCTTTTTATCCTTTTTTTAATACCGTATTAATTAATGATTATTTTTATATTTATAATATTTGTACATAATTTTAAACAGCATTTTAAATTAATATTTAAGTATATATTTAAAAATAAATACATATTTTATAGCATATTACAGCATTTATAGAAGCATATTTTGAGGATTTTTTGTCCATATAAGCCGGTCCCTACTTATAATAATCGGATTGAGGTCAAGTTGGAAGGACTCTTATTTTGTAAAACAAATATTGTATTTATGTAATTTAATTATTTAATATTGCGTGACAACAAATTATTAAGTTTTTGTAAAACGATGATAACGTACACCTAAAGACGATTGTATTTGCCCCATCCTATTGTTTAAAATATTAATTTTATCCCATGCATCTCAACATACTCTCACCCTACAAACACTGCAAAAATCATACTTCAATTGAAGGGGTGCAGTACCAAAGCCATTAATGACGAAACACTTTTTTTAAATCTCTACACCATGTGAAAATCCACGTCCTACCTACTTCACCCTCGAATGTAAAATATTACTTTATAACAAATTTATAATGCATAGTTAATGACAGATTTCACAAAACAATTTATAAGTGTATGAAATTACATTTTAACAGCATTACACATAAGTTTATATGTATTTTAATAAATAATGTTTATTCCACTCTATATTTTAATCTAATGCCAAAAATGGATTTAAACTATTTACGTCTATTGACACTAAAATTATACCGCCTCAATTATAAAATATAATAATACCTTAATTCATTTGAATTTGTTGACAGTTTTTTTTCTCGCTTCTGGTTATTTAGGTAGTCTACTTCTGAAAAATGGGAATAAATGTCCACCAAATTTTAATGAAAATGTACATTGATAATTTTTATAAACCACCATTATTAAAACCATTTTTTGGACAGATATGAAAACATATTTTGTAAATATAAAATAAGGAATTTTCTGTTTTTTTTTTTTATTTTTTTTTTTATTTGTATGATGATGTACTTTAATAAAGCACTATAGAATTTGTCGCTCTTTAAATTTTGCTTGTTGGGAAATCTGCCTCTGTCTAAAGCTATAGTTTTATATTAATTTATATATACACACACATACATGATTCACACACTCTTCACTCACTTTTGATCGTTACATTTCTATAACGACCAAAATGTATGAATTTGAAGTTTGATCTAGTCAAATTCTCTGATTTTCTAGATGTGCAATAAAAATGAATTGTTCGAAAGTCGCATTTTTAAGGATTTTTTTTTCATATGAGATTTGTGCCTGGTTAATTTCTTTGAAATAACCCTAAGTTATTTTCTTCTGCCTACCAACGATTATTCCGTGTTTCTCCTAAAGTGTATTTTTATTCTATATCATTTGTTATTTAAATTTAAATCTTAACTATGAATTAGAAAAACATGAAATAGAACAGTGATGTAGATATTATATAAAAAATATCGTTTGTAATTAATATAAATTGGTTAATATAATTCATAATAAATTATAATACATTAAGTTTATCATTTATAATATCATACATTAGATTACTTAATAAGTTACTGAATATAATTTTAACTCATTCCATCGATTAATTCTTATTGAAAAATTTTGTTTTATAAAAATACTATTCATGAATGACACTTAATAGTTTAATTAATTTCACGCATACCTTAGTATTTTATCGGTTTATAAATTATCCCGAGTTTTTTTTTGTTTCTTCCTTTGTAGGTTTTCATGCGTTGTTTATTGTTTTGATTTTCTTTTGGTTTTCTGCTGAAAATTCAACATGTTGGTTTGTATTTAAAACAAAATTACTATTTAATCCAATAAATATAACAACATTTATTTTTATATGATTTTTTTTTTTTTTTACAAGTATAAATGAAATAACTCGAATGCATTTATTGCGTATTGTGCATTTATGTAATGTAATTAATAATATAATAAAATTAACCTACCAGCAAGCTATCTGAATCGTTTTAGTTAAAGATGTAATTATTTTCATAAATATATATATTTTCATGCATTTTAAATCATATTTTGATAGTTCAATAAATTTACAAAAATTAAATTATATTTCTTAAAAAAAATAGTGTTTTGAAATTAATAATTATTTTTAGTTTTTATAAACTATAAATGAAATACATAATATTTTATATTCTACATTGTTTTCAGTGGAAAATAATATACGTAAAAGATATATTGCATATAGTTTTCCGCAGTGAATATTTTAAACAATTTTCTCTGGGCGACAAAAAAAAAAAAATGTCTACGCATATAATTAAAATCGAAAAAATCAACATCAACAAATTGTGAAAAACCTAAAAAAATATTCAGTATTTGAAATCAGCGTTAAAAAGTTTTTCAAACCTTAGAAACTCTAATAATACCATTTAAACTCGTAATGGTATATATACAGTGGTTCCTAATTAGTGTGAAGTCACGGATTCCTAGCTATAACTTAAATTGGTCCAGGAACCCCTTTTTTTGTAAATATTTACTTTTCAATTTTTTTTTTAATTATGAAATTGAAAAAAAATTTATTTTATTTTGGCAAATTTTTTTGTAATATTATACACACACATTTTCTAAAAAAAAATATATATAAAACGATTTATTTGATTTAAAACCTTATTATAAATTAACATTATTGCAATTACCTTTCACAATTTAATTATATGTTACTTAAATTAGTTATTGCATTGATTTTCGAACTTTATGAGATAAGTGAATTCTTTCTTTTTTGTTCATAATTTTGTCCAAATTCGACTGCATGCTTGATATTTTCACTCTTAAATCAGCATCAATATTAAGTCTACCTATTACGATTTTTGTTTTTCGTGTAACAGTAGGTAGATAAAGCTTATTTACATCCATATGTTGTGCAAAAGGGGATCAAATATCTTAAAGCTTTCTCGGCCAGTTTTTTTTGATAATTTTGAATAATTAACCAAAAATCAATTACTTTTTTATCATTGAAAATATTTTTCATCGTCCCGTTATTTACCAAGTAAATTAATTTAATTAATAAAAATAATTTAATAATTAATTCTTCTTCAGAGATATTTTCTATTTTATCAATATCACAGGGAAATAGATTTCTTATCCACGTATTGTTTATGACCGGTTGATAATATTTATTTATAAAAAATAGATTATTTATTATTTTCGCGATAATCGAGTTTCAATAGTCCAAAATATCCGGAATTTCAAACGACTAAAAATTTAATATTTTCACTAAAATAAAAATATCATTATAGTACTACACAACCACGAACCCTCTAAAATCAACTCATGGACCATCAATTGATAACCACTGGTATGTATAATACAATATAATACAATACCGTATGGTTTTTATTGGTTTTACATTGTAGGTATCTTTGATAATCAATATAATTAATGTTTGAACTTCAATTTGCCAAACGAAATGATTAAAAAATAACAAAATCAAGCATAATAAGTGACTATTAAATAAAATTATAAAATAATTACAAATATCTTAATTATTGCCAAGATATTGTTGTCGCCTAGTAATTAAAGATTTCATCTTCTTGGGGACAAAAAAATATTTATTCTGTGATAATTATGTCACCTAGTATGTTAGGTAAAATATGCACTGGTTTTCGATGCAAAATGGTTACGATGATCGTTCCCATAGTATAATATTTATTTTATGATATCGAAGTTTTCCAATACAATTTTAATAAAAATGTTTTGTGAAAACCCTAAATTAACGTTTTTCGTATCAATTTAGACCGTAAAATCCATAGTAAATCCATTCGAAAGTCATTCATAAAAATATAATGCTATGGATCAAACGTGTGCTGTTAGATTTTGTTAGTTGCGGTTGTACCTTAATGTTTATGGTACGAACTGACAGAGGGTTATTAACGCTTAGTCGTGATTTCTTCGATAAGCGTTCGATTACATTTTACCTACCGCAGAACGCATATAGAACATAATCCGCATATATGAATTGTTTGGTCAAACAATGCACGAGACAATAAAATCGCTTAAATCCGATGATGACGTATGACACAATAATCTCGTTTTTTTTATTACTTCCGATACGGTTCGAAATCCAAACCGTTAAAAAAATGAGACACCCCCTAAAAATCTGATGCGTTTTAATTGACATATACAGCAGTACGGTGATGTTGGGGTTGGTGGGGGTGGTGGTTTCGGTGATGACGGCGTACGGTTGCTTATAGGTCAACCGATTAATCTGCGGTATGAGCCAGTTTCTGCAGTGTGTGTTTTACCGCAAGTTTTTCTCCATTCATTTCCAGCCCTCTTCCAACATAATCGTGTGTATTATTTCTGATAAACGGCGTTAAATCTATATAATGGACCAGATGTTTTACGCGATAATACTGGGAATTCGTCTCGGCCTTTGGGCGAGCACGAGCCATAACTAAAAGGTTTTTGTGTTTGTGTTTTTTTATTCCGTTATTGAAAACATAGAATATCGCACTCAGATGGATCGGTCTAAATTTCGTAGCAATCGCACGTTTTTTGCAGACGCGAAATTGGAACAGCTGTTTTCTGAATCGAATGCGGACATGGTTCGCCATGAACATTAGCTTTAGCCGTGTAATGTAATATTATTATATGTTTGAATTATTCAAAAGTAGTCATTGCACTGCGCTGCACAAATCTTTCGTTGATTTCCGTCTAAAGTACTGTAAAGTAAAATCAAATTTTTTCTTTAAAAATCACCTTTCATCGAATTCGCGAGTATTAATACTGCACTGATTGTTTCGAAAATACTATAATATCGATTATCGAATACTTTTCCACGTTGACGAGTTTAAATTGGTAAAATATTTTTATTTATTATTTTTTTATATAATATTAATATCATAAATGCATAGTTTAGCAGTAGTTGAAGTATATTTTTATTCATATATAATAAACATTTTATTGTACCACTCAACTTTATTGTATTAACGCGACTTCTGTTGAAAAGTATGCTACGGTTTTTGTATATGTTTCGATTAAGCAGTCTAACCGTAATACACGGATACATAATGTATTTTTGAGCTTAATTAGTCATAAAAAAAACAGCATAAAAAAATTAAAACAAATTATCAGTTACTGATATTATTTAAAACAAACAAAAATATAAATATTAAGTTGAGCGTTTTACACGATGGTTTATTATAATCGAAGAAAAAAGCCTTACAAATGTAGATTATTTCTATTTTCTAAATAACATCTGGTACCTTTTTTTTTATATTGGAAACTGTTCTCATACGAGTACATGAACGATTTGTATTAAATTTCTTTTTATTTTTTTTATAGTTCAGAATTATTAACTTGGAATCGTCAGATATATATTTCAGCAGTGCAGTATCAGAGATATTATAAATCGTTAAATGGTAAGTAATTGTTTTTTTTCTGTTTTTGAGTCACAGTTTTGAAACTTATAACCTTTGTGTGAATTCACTTATATATAACGTTTGTAACTTGGGTTATTCACTTTTGAAATGTAAATTAATGTAATTTAAGAGCCTAGATAATATTAGCTTTTAGTGGTTTATTTTTATATTAGTCAACAGCTTAAGATATTACGCGGTTCGTAATTTATACGAGTATTTACTTACGGTAAACTTAATTGCAGTGTATACAATTATAATTTCTATGAAAATTTTTAGCTGTATCATGGCCAGTAAGGATACTTCAGAATTAAACACCACCATATGACGATCACCCATTTGTTTCCCAACTACGATGAGTATCAATGTTGCAGTTTCATATCAGTATATTTCAGTTTCATATTTCAATTTCAATCGAAACCCTAACGCAGATACATAATAATATAATGTATAATAGAGGATTTTATTATATTCGCTTAAGTATGCCGGTATATTCGAAACAATGACAACAATTCTTTCGAGTACTTAATGTGTACAATATAAACCTCCGTCGGATATACTCATTTTGTTTGGGGTTGAAATTAAATCATTGTCCATAGTATAAATCCATGGCACTTATTAATTTTGACGAGCGTAATCAAATTCGTTTTTGTTGCGTATACGTAGGACAAATATCTCAAAACTGTATTATAATCAAGTTATATAACTAAAATTTACTTATTCTATTGTTGAAAATATTTGCTCGATCACCGTTTTTTTATTCATTTTTCTATAGATTAACACTTTAAAACATATTAAACAATAATATATTGTGTTTCTTTATTTCTATTATTAAATCATATAAGAATATAAAAAAAGTTTGCTTTGATTATGATAGTAAAATACAATTTGATGTAATATTTTATATTAATATACATTTTGTTTAATTTTGATATTACCTAGTTATTTTTACAGTATAAATATATTTATTTATTATATGATTATTATAATGTATGGGCTTTTTTCGTTTATTTTTTAGCATTTAATAGAAAATAGTCTTACGGATCTAATAATAATAATAATAGGTAATTCATCATAGAATATATTGAAACATAGAGAGATGATTTATTTTTAATTTTGTTAAATATATACGATAAAATCAACTGTTTATATTCGTTTTAATAAAATATTGAACATTTAAAGCCTTAATATTTTTTTATTTTGAGTTCTGTTTTAAAATTTGAAAAATAATGCATTATACCGTTTAATTTAGAAATTAACGAAATTACTACTTTTGTATTAAAAGTGTTCAAAATCCTTTTAGTTGGCTTTTTTAATACAATAACTAATACTATGTTGTATGAATGAATACAAATATGAAATTTCCTATTCAATAATAAGAGTAATTTCTTAAAAAGCAGATTCATATTATGCGATTATACTTTACAGCTAATTTATATACGATTACTGTGTAATGTAGTGTACGAGTATAGTCCTATAAGTATCAATCAGCCAAATAAGATATTAGGTATCATCATTGATTTTATAATCAAAGACATATAATAGGTACTAAATAGAATCAAATAAAAGTAAATTATTATTAAAAATAAATTGCACATAAAGGGGTTTTTTTAACCATATGTTTTAATCAATTAAAGTGATAGCTAATAGAATACATTTGAAAATAGTTTTAACTTATTGCATAATAATTATTGATATAAATTAATTTGATCTGATAATGTCTTCATTGAATAAATATTACTATTATTTGTTTCAAAATACGTATAGTATAGGTAACTGATTTTACTTTAAATGAAAACTGTTATTTAAAATGTGTGTTTATGATAGTTTAATTTTTTTTTTTACTAAGAAATTTTTGGACTACACTATTGGTTTACAATTCTATAATATAGCTATATTTTCTACTTTAATATGACAGAGATGATATAATGATAAGATGTTGGTAGCAATTTTTAATACGCTGCACATGTGTGGTCGTCAATCTATTTATAATATTTAATATTTAATGATTAAACAAACTGGTTCAACCGGGAACGATAATTATTATCTAAACTGATTTTAGAAAAATGTTTTAATGAACATACATTAAACAGATTGGAGAGGTTTTAGTGTTTTTGAATTGTTTGAATTTGCGTAAAGTATAAATTTTCTTTTCAATCAAATTCACGTAAAGAGATAAATACACTTATCAACATTAAACAGTATTCTTTATATTGCAATTGAAAGGTCGACAAGAATAACGTGCTTTGTAACATTTTTTTAGATTTTTTTTTGCGGAATAACGTTGTATGAAGTAATCTTGGTATAATTTTAGAATTGTAAAATTCACGGAATTTTCTTATACTTACTTATTTCTTACAATAATCGTGTATAAACTTATAAGCCGACGCTTTGTTGACAGTTAAAAAACGTGCTATGTACGTTGCGTGGTTTTTTGTATCCACAGCAAGTTGAAGCGACGGGTAACGTGTTAATATTGCGATTGTACAACATTTTATTTTCACGTATATTATTTAACTGTTGCAAGTCCAAATATTAATTTATCTAAAATTAATATTAACCATTTAACTAATAAACAAAAATGGAAAATCAATACAACAGATTGGAAAAATTTAAAAAAATAAAGCTCATTGTAACAATGGGAAAGAATACAAATCTCGGAGTAAATAGCTTGTACCAGTTAAGACATCTCCATCTGTGATAAGTAAAATTGTTGTAATGAAAGTTATAAAATGATTATATTTTAAATAATATTTTTTTAAAAAAAATGTTGTTAAAATTTGTTACAAGAATTCTTGTCCTTGGCAGGATTGTGTAACTTTAACTTTAACAAGAAAACTTGTATTATTTAGCGAATTTTATAAATTAACGTATGATGAACAATCAGCTATCTTGTATAATTGTATAGAAATAAATGTTCTATTTCAGAAGACAAAAAGGAAAAAACAGATGCTGCATCTCGATGATTTTGTTCATTATAACATTACATGGATGATTCACAAACATGGAAAAACACTTTTAAATACGTTTAGTATTGCAAGAAGTCGTGTTATGACGTTACAAAATAAAAATAAATAAGGTATTATAACACCTAAGGATGGCCATGGAAAATATTTTAATAGACCTTAAGCGATTGATGCGTCTGTAAAAGATTTAATTAAACAGCACATAAATAGTTTATCCTTAATTTTAATTTAAGTTTAATATCACATTACATCCGCCTCACAACAGATAACCTGCAATATCTGAGTCCAAACTAAAATAAATGTAAAATTTACCGATTTTTAAAATAAGTATCCTGATGTAATTACAATTGAACGTATCTATGGAAATATATTTTAGTCGGACTTTAAATTAAGTTTCGATTATTAACGTTCAGATACATTCAGAGTGATTTTTTTATAATAAATAAGTAGCAGCTGATATAGAGGAAGAAAGAAAAAAAAGTAATTATAGTATTCTGCATAATTCAAGAGCTGAGCAATCATATAATTTCCTTAAAAAAAGATACAGAGTTAGCTATTTAGTTAGACTCAATAGCTTCATTATACTGATTAGCGTTGATCTACAACAAGTATTGTTTTGTTCAATTCTTACATGTCTTAACAGAGATAACTTTCCAATTATAATATTGTAACCCATAGCGTCGGAAAAAAAACGCAGTTTCCGTGTATTTATGGTATGAATATATCATTAAAAGAGAATCATTAGAAATAGCTTCGTGTATTTTAAATTATATCGAGAGTAATTACAATAATCTTGGACATGATAAAGAGAGGAAAGTGATAATATAGTTTAATAGATGTGTCGATCAAAGTAATAACTGGCGATTATTAAACATGAGAGAAAATATTTTATTGATGTACATATTTAGTACTAAAAAAAAAAAAAAAAAAAACTGGTATTCCTATCTAATATTATGCAAGTATTTTATAGAAATTAATCAAAAATTTCTTTCGACTAGCCATAGCTTTTTATCATGTAATCACGATTCTGCTTTAATCGGAAAATAAAAAAATTCAGCAAAAGTTTTTGTACCGTCACAATGAAAATAGGCTATAGTTAATGTAAGGTTAGAAATACCATTTAATATTAATAAAATGTTTCAAAATGGTTATAAAGATTTTTTCTTATATAGAAGAAGATAATATAAAAAAAAAAATCTAAAAATTACGCAAGCAATGTGGTTTAAATTATCAGCGGATGCTTCTATCTGTATAAATATTTAAATATTCGTGAGTCGCTATACGATGGGACCGTGGAAATCTCATCAAATACGTCAAAATAAATGAAAAGAGAATACTTCATTTATTACAGATTTACTACCAGCGTAAAATTTCTATTGGCATTGATAAAAGAAAAGAAAAAGTTGATTTATACAAATGCAGGTATTCGAGTATGCCTAAAAAATATAGTTCTATTAATTATTGCCAAAAGAATATATTAAATTAATAATAAAATATGCAAAAATTATGTGATTCCTTAATGAATAATAAATAATACATTTTATTAATATTAGTATCCAAAGTATTTTAAAAAAAATTACTTGAAAATTTCATAAATATAATTATGATATCATGTTGTTGAGTCATTAAGAACGTATTACATTCATTTCAAATAATTCATAAAAGAAATAATATGTATAATAAATGTTTTGTTTTTATTTGTTACTGTATAGTTTACGAATTGCCACATGTAATTCCTATCGATCCTTCAATTATTAAATTAAATTAATTTAAACAAACAACTAGTTAACTAACTTACAAGTCTTATATATGTCACTCCTTCAAATACTTATACGTATATAAAATTATATTTTATATGTATATATAGGAAGTTTTACAATTTAATATCAATATTATATTTCTAGTATTTTTGCAGATTTAAATTTTGTTTGTCGTTCATTTATACACCTACTTATAAATTCGTTTTTATATTTTTTATATTATAATAAATAAATATATAGAAAAGATCTCGGAAAAGGTTTTCTAAATATCTTCAATTTTTATTCAAAGAGTATAAACATGATTTTTTTTTGTCAAAATACTAAATGCACTCTGACTAAGTTCAGTTTATTATAAAATATTTAAATACAATTTTCAATATCGAGTTTGTTAATTAAACTGGTTTCTACTATTATTTATTTAAATTCTGAATAACAAAATTAAACCCATAGAATAATAATTAGTAACTTTAACATATTAGAGAACTTGCTATATAATTATCTAGTGTATTTTTAACGGTTAGACAGTTGTTTCGGGAAAAAAAAAAATAATGTCATGACATTTGTTCTTTTTGGCCCCTCTTTTATACATATAATAAGCTTAATTTCTATACGTAGAGTAATATTAGTTTATTTACTCGTATTATATAACAATTATGCTTGATATAATATGTGTTGGACATAATTTTCATTGTATGTTTTATAATAAATATATATTTTGTTAATTTATACATGTACGTGTGTGTTAGTAATACCCATCGGCATTTTAAAGTGTTAATTAAAATTGTAAGCATAATAATTTAAAGTCGTTAATAATTATTTATATGAAAGCGTGATAATTATTTTTTATTATTTTTCCACTACAGTCTTGATGAAGATGAATCAGATGAAGAGATTATAAGTCGCAGAAGGATATGAGTATATGTGAAAAATTACGAACCAGTTACATCTACTCAAGTCTCGTGCTGATTTGGTAAGTGTTCACAATTTACAAGTAATATTATATGAGAGATAAATTCCTAAATATAAAAATATTATAACCACCATATTTAAATTAACTATGTACAATTATTAAAAAAAAATAAATAAATAATGTATACATATGTTTGACTCGTATACGATATGTATTATTATTGAGTATATTGGATTCGATATAAATTCGTTTATGATGTATATTATTTAATTCCTACTGAATTTTAGCCTTTGGTTAGGTGTATATCATATACGTATCATATTAATTATTATCAAACCTACACATAACTAGTGTAAACGGATGGATTTGTAAACAATAGGTGGTTTATATCCAATGTTATTTGAGGGAGTAACACGCATGGGTGTGCAGTCATTTTTCCGCAAAAACCAAGTTATATATACGTTGTGATTATGAAATGAAAATCCGTTGTTACCTTCCTATTACTACCCTTGCTCTCCTCTTCACCGTAACAATACGTCTTTGGTCGCTATGCCCTTGTGTGTGTGTGTATATATATGGGTGTGTATGTGGGTTTGTATCAATTAATTAAATCTGATCTACTTGACTTATTAACCGATTATATTATGCGGTTGTAGGAAACCTGGTTTTTATTTTACTTAATTTTTATTTTTATTTTTTTTATTTTTTAATGGCTAAACTGCCGTAATACATCACGAACGAATAACTAGAATATATTTAGAGGTACCACCATAAACGCATGCCACAGTTTGTATTATAATATGTGTCCAATAATGTTCCCGTAAAATTTAACGATCCATACAAATATAATTTATATACATATATATATTCGTTTATAATATTATTGCTATTATTTTTTATCGAAATACAATTTTGATATTATTATATTATATAGTTCTGTTTCAACGGCCCGGCCCCGGGCGTGGATCCTAATATAATAATCGCCTCCGCGTGTTCAAATTATAGGGTTATGCGTGCATATAACCGCTGCAGCAACAACAATAATCGATGGATCGGTCGGTCGCCCACAAATATCACAAAAACGTTAGGTTTTTAATAATAATAATAATAATAATAGTAATAGTCTTCCGCGGTGTGTGTACACCTAGATGGATGACAATAAGTCGCATTATTGGTTTATTATTTATCTATTACTTTCTAAATATATTTAAATAAATAAAGAAAAAAATATGATTTTTCTTATCGGTAGATATTACATATTATTTTTTTTTTTACTTCGCATCGTCAGGAAAAATAAAATAAAGACTATGCATGATTATGGTGTACTTGCAGCAGTAGTTTTATCCGAACGTTGTAATCGCAGCTGACGATGTGGTGTGCGTGAAAAAATAAATACGTACCGGTTTAAAACGGTGGTGAATGTATGACGTGAAAAAAAAAAGAAGTTTTTAAATAAACGACAACGACGAATACTGCAGTGTTATGGCGAATTAAAGGAATGAAAAAGTAAAAGAAAAAATAACGCGTAGCGCGTGACAAATTTAAATGATAAGAATCGACAATAACAATACCTATACGTGCACAGTGTGTATACGTCAAAATTTTTGCACTTATAAATAATTACTACCATTCAGTGTAATACATTAATTTGGTGTCGTCTCCGTTTACTGATGCAAATGAACGTTACGCGTAGCGAAATTGTCTCCAATTTTTGTCCTAATTTACGTACATTATATTAGTTGTCTAAAATTGACTCAAACGAATATTTTTTTTTTCTATTCGCGCTTAATGAAATTCATTTAACGGCAGTGTGGTGGTTATTATGGACGACGAATTTTATTTAACAAATCGACTGCGCAATGATTATAGTATCCGAGAGAAATCTCTTTTTCAAAGTTTTCACGTTTTCTATTATTTTATATACGTATACGTTTATATGAGCGCATAATTTAATATATAATACGTGTGTTCAGTATATATGTGGATTTGTTTTTTAATCAACCATCGACTAAGTCATTTGAAAAGCGCAGCGATCTGACAGTAGCGTGGTACAGCGTGTCTGTGGTGACTTATGTAGCCTTTTACGGTTTTTGCGAGAGACTTTTAGACCTGTCAAATAATATTTACAATAACACCCCGCGTGGACTTACTGTGTACACGGAAGGAGACGGGAGCGTTTTGATTTTTGATTTTTTTTTTAAAATATTTAATGCGCCCCATGGAGGATAATGTCAAACGGCGGCCGTATAGACGACGCCGATTCATCATTTGCCGACGAAAGAAACTTTTTATAACGCCACGTCCTCTTGTCTGCACCGTTTCAATATGATGCAAATTTCCAATGTGAATCGCATGACACGCGCGCTACAATGGTTTGAATGACAGCGGGGATATCAAGAGACGGAGATATTCAATTTTTTTTTTCTACTCGTTCGTGACGCTTCAAAATGTACAAGACACTCGTGTATATAGGCACGTATTTCGAGCACCCTTCTCGCCAAGTTCCGAGGTTTTGCCGTTGTTAAATCAGTTTCGAACTACGGGAAAAAAAAAAAAAATGAAATAATAATAATAATAATAATAATAACAATACTGATAATCATAATAATAAATAAATAACTATACGCGCGCGAACGATACATATTATTATTGTATTATACTTGAATATAATGGTGATAGTTTTTCTAAACGATCCGTAAAAAATATCCAAGTAAATTATTAAACATAAGACATATGCTTATAAAACGTAATATTATTCACAGGTCAATTTTTTTTTTTTTATTTACAAATTTTCTCTGATTAAACTTCTATGTTTATTGCACTCGGTTATAGTCATTAATATTTAATAATAATAAATAAATATTATTTAAATTTATGAAGATATATCAGTAACAATTTTTATATTAAACGTCAAGAATAATATAATACTATTGATTAGTTTCAATATTTTATATGACCAAGAAATTTTACATGGTTCTGAGCAGTTAATTTATAAATTTACTTAAATTTTATCCATTATAAATAATACGAGTAATTATTGTGAACTATCTATTTTGATACATTAATAATATAATTCTTATCAGTGTTGTTATTTATGTACTGTTAGCCTAATGGTTATTGAATTATTTTTTATTAATTGAATTATTTACGCGAATTGTGAAATGTATGAGATCTTTGAAACGAGTTGAACTCTTGCCCATTAGCAAAAACGTTTATCGTCTTCATTTTTGACAAATAATTTACTTTTTTTTAAAATTCTTACCAACGTTAAACGTTTTAATCTTATTGTATTTTCAACAATAAGCTATTTATAATTATTAATTTTACATGTATTGAATTCAGGTATATTAACCCAACGCTGGCAAAGTATAACATTTAAATAAAATACACTTTTCATGCAATAATATATGTATGTGCGCACATATACGTAACTATAGTTATACATATAAGTATATAAAAATGCACATAATTAGCACCAGGGCTGTGTTATATTATTTTATACTTGCATGCTCACTAGATTTGCACGCGTTCTAAAGCAAACTAAACGCGTAGTTTTCATATTTAATTATAGCCTACAGTTTTTTGAATGCTTTCTGTAGACTGTAACTCGGTAATGCGTTATCAATCATTTCTACCTGTTAGTTTTAACCATTACGCCCTAGGCCAGTATTGTGTTATTATCGACATTTCCAGTCTACACAGATTTTTATTACCCTCCAAATGTTTAACCGGTAAACTGATTTACGTGTAAAAAAAATACTACCATATTTGGCTTATAGACCTTAGAGTTAATACATCCGTTACGTACATGAACAGTTAAGAAATCAAATGAAAAACTATTTATACCTACTTCGGTACGATTAGTAAATTTGAATAGTATATTAATATCATTTGCTGTCGTTTATCCATTGTTCAATGATAAATAATGTGTTTTCATATAATTACTATTTATATTTTTTATAATCTTTCTATTAAACTTTTAACTTGCGATGTGCAAGAAGTCACAACAATTAATGATCGATAAACATTTATAATAATCAACAACTGAACCACTGAAGTGATTTTCATATAGGTTAAAGAGACCACATCACTTTAAATTTATATTTATTAATTTGCACTCATTGAAATTTAATACTTTTTATAATGTGCTAATCAAACAAGACTGCACTGTTTCCACATTATTCATATAATTGTATATTAGAAATAAGATTTTTTTTTATTGACGTATTTATTTAATATATTTATACACATATTGTAAGTTATATTCATTGTATAATTTTAACAAAATGCGTACAAATAAAAATAAAAATCAGAAACACCATTTGTTATATATACCAAATTATTTACCGAACTATTTAGACACAATCAGTTTAAAGATTAATCAAGAAAATATATTTGTTTTGTTTAATTTTTTTAATTCATAAAGTACTTTGATTTTAGAGACTTATTGTTTTCTAGTGTAGGAATTTGAAGAGAAACTTCATTTTCGTGATTTACGTCTAACAATCATAATGACAAAGCAAATAAATTATGTGTTGTATCTTTTGTGTATTTCGTGATATGTCTTTTTTTCAATACCATTCATTCAAAAAATGGTAACCGGATAAATGTGTATAATACTTAAGATAAACATAGGTATACATTGTATCGATTCATTACCAACAAATGACGCATAGCAAAACAATATTTTGTTTACGAATTGAGCTTTTTGTTGGCAATGATTTTAATATCGGGTACTAATGAGATCCGTCCGATTACACAAGAACACCGCAGTCAATCCTACTGTTTAAATAATTAAAAATAAAATTATTTTTTGCATAATGCGTTGATTTTATTATAAAATGCAGCCAGTTACATGCTTGCACCGATTATTCTTTTTTTATCTTTTTTTTTATGAATTTTGTCATTGAATAATGCACAAAATCATTATCTAACAATGTCGTGAATTGTCAATGAAATTCATTATGGGCCCAATGATTTTTTTTCCCAAATAGATTCAAAAATAAATTTTCCTAGCTCTAATCTAATTTTTATATTTTTCAACGCTTACACATGGGTTT